AAGAAATGCCGATAACGAGGATGCAGGTGTTTCGAAGAATTGCACGTTTCATCTTGGGGACGTTTGGCGCGTTTCTTCATGAATGGCGATTTATTTGAAATTCTTGAAGAAGTTTATTTTATGGTGGAAGTGAGGTTTCGTTAAATACTGACGTCAACGTAAAAACGTAGCTGCTGGTTTCGCGACGGCTGTAGAGCTTATGCTAAATTCCCAGGCATTGTTATAATAAATGTGTGCAGAACCAAGTTAACCAAAGTGGCGTAAGAAGTTTAACGCGTGGTGTCCGACTTCAGACAAGGTTTCGTTGAGTTGAGAAAGCAAGCAGTTGTAGTCCATAGCGAGGCCTTTTGTTAAGGTTTTCTTCTTATTAAAAGCTAACAGTTTCTACCATTCGAACAGCTACAGAAAATGTATCAGCTTATCATCAACCCAGTTATTTTTGTCATCTAATTCCCTGTTATAAAGCAAAGTGCAGTTCAGAAGCTGTCAGCATTTGTGTATGAGTTAAGCGCGCTTAATATCGCAAACGTTCTACGATCAGATTATTTGGATTATTCAGAAAAAGCTGTAACTTTAAGATGAAGATTGCCTATTTTAATTGTCGCCCGCCTACGTGCGGGGTAATGTGTCCAAACAAACTTTGAACGCTTTTCTTCCTTTGAGAGATTTCTTTCATGTATTTCGGAATAAATGTTTGGTTTGTGATTGCCAATTGTGTGTTTATTCGAACCCATGGACTTGTGACGCTAATAATATGTTCTATGTTATTCGCTTTTGCTTTGTTTTCTGTACTTTTAACATAAATCATCCAAATTCCCGGCTGTTGGGATTTCAACGTTGCGACTTTGCCTTAAAATCTGTCATGTTACCTCAGGGTTGCTCTGTTAATATTGTTGTTATAATTTTGATCTCAATGCGCCCTTTATTTTATGTACTTATCCTTTCTGTGCGAAATGCCCTTAAGAGAGACTAGCTCTTAGCAATTTCATACAAGGCTGACATTCTAATTAATATGTTTGTTTGGTTCTTGGTGAACCAACTCTGTGTGGAGTGTAGCATATTTGGTCTGGCCATTAAATATCCAAACTATGTGAATTTATCATAATGTTTAATGTTTATTGTATATGTTATGTGTGTCAAATATTAATTCTTTAGGAATTCCAGTGGAGCCTATGAATTTACTCTACAAACAATTATTTTGTATTACCTAATTTGTTGGTTGGTTTTTTTCTTGGTCAGTTCTTACATTTTCAACCTTTGTTCCTGTAATAATAAATAAATAAAATAAATAATAAATTTCTAACAGTAGGGACGTTTATAACTAGCAAATATACAACTAAGGAACAAAAGTGAACTATCGATATCAATTTCTTGATCTACTGTTAAATGAAGTACAGCGATGGACCGTATAAAATGTAATACACATATTCTTGATAAATATCACTTATAATTGTCATCTTTAAAGTCCTTTTATTTCTCATGTATATTAGTAATATTATGATTATACTATTTTTATTTAATCAAATGGCTAAATGCATTATTGTACCTATTATAGTACGGTGTAGTTAGTAAGTCAATAAAATAAAAAAAAATTAATAATAAATATACAAATAAATGTATTTAAATGTTTTGGTTTACTATAATTAACGACTAGATTACTTTTTATATTAATACTCTGCTGTAATGTTTAACCACATTGTTAAGTATCTTAACGGGTTGACTTTTAATTATGTTACTCCACTGTACTACAATCGCCACACACATTTTTCTAATTTTACTTTTCCACACACCTTTGATATTTATGGTTTTATTTGATTTCATTTTCCATAGTACTCCGTCGTCTTCAAATTCACCACAATTTTACACAATATAATCTTCTCAGTTTCATTGTATTGAGGAACGAGTTCATGGCCATACCAACTAAACATTTATTATGGTTACACATTTATTATATATTAATGAATAATTAATTTAATAACTTTTTCTCTTTATCCTGAAATGTCGATAATCACACTTAGTTTTAGCAGATTACCCCTACGTATACTAGGGTTATGCAATATTGCTTTAAGAAATATGAAATTACATAAAGAACTTGCGACGAATATTCGCCAGGTCTAAATAAAAGGAACAAGTAACATTTGAAATGTATAACATAAAAAATTCATAAATAATTGGTAATTTGTAGGTAATTTTGTTGTAATTAAAATAATTTGTGATTCGGTAGGAGGGTTCTTTTTTCACAGGTAATACAATAGCATCGGAAAGTAGACACTTACGATCTATTTATAAATAATATATTTCTTTCCACGGTATTTGACGAACCTAAAATCAATTTTTGTTTCTTGCTCTATTTTACTTAATTTCGTTGTTTAATTTGTAAGGGGCTTTTCACTCTCTATATATTGTTGTTATATATTAGGTATATATCTGTAAGTTAAGGAAATTTGTACCTATAAGTAAAATATCACATTGTACTTTTAACGTATTTTTATAACGAGATTGCAAATTTTCAAGCGTCTTAATGAAGCTTTTATTTAATGATTTGGATTTGCTCTTCTAGAATTGCCTGTTTCAGTGTTTGCTAGCATAAAATTAATTATCTGGGCCTGTATGGGTATTTTTAGTCTCGTTAGACATTAGTTTATTAATTAATATATAATAAATCAGTAGAATATAAAAATAATAAAATACTTTATTTTTGGTGTAACTGTAATAGTTTGTTTGATTACATTGTTAACTTCCTTGTAAGGGGGGTAGAAAAGGTTTCTTTCGAAAGCACGCTAATATTAAGGTTGGGTAGTCTCACCAGATTACTCGAGTATAAAATTGCAGAAATTAATTTGAGTTAATTTATTTTCAAAGTACAATCTCTAATTATTAATGTAACTTTACGGATTATTTCCTTTCAATTTGTAAGAATGATTTAAATAAATAGAACCAGGAACCTAAAGCCTTTATCAACAATATTGTAACTCCCATTACAAATTGCAAAAAGAGCAGTAACCTCAATTCTCATATAAATTACTATTACTGTAAGTATGTCCGGCAGGAGGTACTAATTCAAACCTATTCGAACTATTTGAGAACTTTACGTACCCCCTTAAAATATCATGTAAAGTAGTAGATGCTCTTATCGCTTACACATTACTTTTGTACAACTTTAGTTAATATTCTGGCTTATATTCACTTTCACCATTCGTCAACAATGCTGTTCCATGTCCGAAGGTTTAATTTTTAATTAATCTCTTATATTTCATTCAGTTTAAATCCGTCATAGAAATACTACAAAGGCCTATCTTTTGATTTTTATTAAATATTTGAATTGAATACGTAACATAATATCGCTTTTGTTTATAATTCCCGAAACTTAGTGGTGTAAATGCCTCCGATGGAGGTGTGGTTCGAAGACAGATTTAATTAAATTTAACGTTGTCGAAATTATGCATTGTACTTAATTATAATTACAATTTAGCCCTTGTGAAATTACGCGTTCCGCTGCCAATTATATATAATTAGAATTAAGTTTGCCTAATACGCAAGCTGCTAGTAAATTATATTAACTGAAAGAATCCTTTTGATTGTTTCTCTTATAATTTTATCACTTGCACTATGCCTTGAAATGTTTCAAAGGTCGATTAATTTTTAACTTGTATTATTAATATTTCGAAGCCGTTCGGATATTATGACATCTTGTAAGTTTTATCACTCTTGTGAGACAAATTTGTAATCGTACAACATTTTAGGCCTGATGATGGCTTGTTAGCCGAAACATGTCGCATTACAATTAAAGATTATTCCAAGTGTATGGGGAAGGTTTTGTGTTCACTTTCTAATAAGTTTCAAAGAACGTTGTACTGATTTGGGTTGGTTGTAAAAGGTTATGTACAGTTGACAGTAAGGTCAATTAGGTGTCTGTAAGTCAGGCTGAACTACACCGATTGCAATAAAGACGTTATTTATTCCGCCAACTTTGAGTTCGGTTAGGTAAACCATGTCTATATTTAACCCCTACTACCAGCCCGCGTTCCCGTGGAGACTCGGTCTCGAGTACTGTTGTTTATCAGTCGCTCGTAGTAGACCGAAAACTTAAGGACGCAATCAACGAAAGGAGTTTACCGGAAAACATAAAATGCCATACAAAGCCAATAAAATCTGGCCCAAAAGAGCGGAAAGTCAGGTGAGGTTGCGATCTGTTCGCGCCGTCGGTTTTAGCGATAGAGGTGGTGCAAGTAGTATAGAAATGCTTAGTAGGCACTCATCTAAATAAGTCAGAAAAGTCAGAACCATTGTCGATGTTCGAAGAGACCTAACACGGTTTCAAGCACTGCCTTTGATTATGTGCGGTCTGTCGCTTTGGTTTGGTATTTTCTATTCGGGGACATCTGTACCTCGATTCTGTGGTAATTTGTAACACTACGAATCTGCCCTTCGATGCGACTCTGGTCGAGGTTAGTAGCAATTTGACCACAGTTTGTTCAGATTATTTTGTTCAGATGATGAGTTACGAAAATGTTAATTAAGAAATTAACCAACATGTATTTCATTTACCTTGTCCCTGTGCTACTTCAAATAAAAGAACTGACAAATGACAACCTCTAAAATGGTAACGTAAAATCCTACAAGCGTAACGTAAAATCTAGTGTAATTATCCCCGTCCCACTACTGTACGAAGTGTATTTATTACTATAACATTTCCTCTTACTCAATGGATTAATGCATCTGTATTCTGTAACTATACGCACTTACTTGAATAAATGTGTGTACACTAAAAATTCCGGCAAACAAAATAATAAGATGTAAGTAACAATAATCTATAATATCTATAAATAATTAAATAAGTAAATCTACAAATAAGTTTATATATTTATGTTGAACCTGACCGGTATGTTTGGTT